TTTAAATTTAATTTTATACTGGAATATATTGATTTACAATGTTTTGTTAGCTCCAAGTGTACACGCAAGTGATTCAGTTATACATACACATATAATACGTATATCCATTCTTTTTCAAATTTTTTTCCTACATAGGTTATTATAGAATATTGAATAGAGTTGCCTGTGCTAAATTCTAAAAATTATTCCTTTTCTATTAGCATTTCACTCAGCAGAATTTTTAGAGCTGCTAATTCTTTTGCTGAATTTTCTGACTTTTCTTTTTCAGGATACAGTAATAAATGAACATATTATTATAAAGAAGTGTTTCATATAATATAGACTTACTCACATAAATCTTTTTGCTAGTCTACATTTTATAAAGCAAATACTATGTTGATGAGAATTTATTAGAATAGTCACATGAGCTTTCACTATTAGCCAAATAACTAGGAATCTCTGTGATTTGTTTTCATTGAGTAGTATCTTAGCACTCAGTGGTATCTTAGGAGAGAGTTGTGGGTATGTTTTAAGTCACTTCAGTGGTGTCCAACTTTTTGCAACCCTATGGAACATGGCCCACTAGGCTCCTCTGTCCATGGGATTCTCCAGGCAAGAATAGTGGCGTGGGCTGCCATGCCCTCTTCCAGGGGATCTTCCTGGCCCGGGATCAAACCCACATCTCTTAAGTCTCCTGCATTGGCAGGTGGGTTTTTTATTTTATTGTTTTAACCACTAGTGCTACCTGGGAAGCCAAGAGAGTGTCAGCCTAATTCTAATATATATTAAAACCTTACTTGTGCACTCTTCATTTTACTATGAAAATTGGTATCTGGGGACTTCTGAACTACGTAACTCAAGATCTTTTGTTTATTTATGTGAAAAAAGAGTGTTGCTAAAACCCACAGGACGTTTGAATTGATTCTTGAGCTTAATATTTCTGTCAAAATGTTTCTGGAGGCCATACATGAATGTTCAGTTTCTGAGAAGTTGCTCAGTGTCCAAAGAGTGAGTTTAAAAAAGCACAACCCACACAAATAATGAATTTTCCATGAAAATCCTGAAGCCCTTGGAGAGAAAGGAGGCTCCAGGACCTTTTAACCTGGAACCCCAAGGGATATAGATTTTTCTCAAGGTCATGACACATCTTTGTAAAGTTTTCATGGTTCTTCTCTAGCTTCTCAAAAGAGTCCTTGGCAAACAAATGGTTGAACACCCCAGGTCTAGGACCTCCCATTGCTCTAAAAGTAATAAATCTTATTTTTACCATTAGCTAAGCATCCCATTAAACAACAAACACTGGGTTTGTCCCGAGAGTGACCTATGCTTATTTTTACATACAGAAGGTTGTAACCAGAAAGGGAATGCTTCTTCTTCTTTTTTTTTGGGGGGGGTGAGTTTTGCTGTAACATCATTCATTAACTTCCAGGCTGTGGGGTTTCTTTGATTCTCACATGCTCAAGTTAGTACAGTTGACTGTGTGAACTAGGAATCCCACGATTCTGACTCACTAACCACCTTCCTGGGTTAATCTGGTCCCCTCACAGTTCCTGCCACGAGACACTCAGCCACACTCAGGGTGAATCAGAAAAGCTAAAAATGGTTGGGGGAAAAAAATAGATTAATGGTCATAGTTTATTCTTGAAATGTGTTTATTAGCTTGATCCAGTTAAATGTTAAATGAAGAAGGCATATTTAAATAGTGTTTTACTAAATTGCTATTTTCTTTTTTAGTAAATTATTTTTACCTTATTTTGCATCTCACAGAAATAACATTCCTTGGACAACACTTTGGGAGATGTTACTGAAGGAAGAAATCAAGAATTACAGTTTCATCACAACTGTTATATTCAATAACAGATAGTCTTGGATACATATAAGGTGCCTGTGGACTAGTTTTACTTTTAACCTTCATTGCAGTAGATCAGTGCCTTCACAGCTTTACTAGAAAACAGGGTCTTTTAAAAGGAAAGGTTCAATTAGGGTCAAACTTCCCTAAAGAAACTGAAATAATGGAACCTTTATTGAGCTCTCGTCATGTGCAACGTGCTAGAAATTGGCAAAGATAAGAAGAAGACAATTTTGATTTTCAGAGGCCAAGGTTTTGTGGAGAAGTTCACAGATTTGTGTATTTTATGTACCTAATATGATTTACATTAGTTACTTTGGTGAACTATATTGCACTGGAATCTCAGAGAGAAGGAAAAGCAAAACTGAGGGGAGGAGGAAGGTTTCCCAAAGAGGTGACTTTGGGTCAAAGACTACCTGAAGACTTGGTAGCACGTGTGTGATGTTTGGGTCCCCCCCACCCCCAATCAGAAAAACAGGAGAAAGCAGGAGCAGAGACAGGAGTGTGCCAAGGCATGACTGGCCCAGAGAACAGTGAGTAATGCCAGGCGGCTGGAGGCAGAGAGCAGGACAGGACTGGGAAGGAAGGAAGGAGGGTGAACTCAGACTCTGTTCCAAGGACACCGGAAGGAATTCAGACCTTTCTGCAAAGCAGGGCTTCCAAAGGAGAGTGGGCAAGGAGTATTAGAGTCCCACTGACAATTTACGTTTGTCTTTTTCTTTTAAATGTTCGTTTTTAATGTGTGTGTGTGTGTGTGTTTCCAATTTATCTATCAGTGGAACAGTAAATGGATATCTTATGTGGGTTAATACACATCCATAATTAAACGTTTTCCCAAAGAGCACAGTTCAAAACATGTGGATGACTGGTATGAAGGACTACATTTTCTCCAATTTCAAGTAGAGGATGGAACAGATTAACTTCTAAATTAGATGATGGAGATTATTAGATCTGGAAGGATCTTGGATAGATATAATTTGACTGAGGGGCTTCCCAAGTGATGCGCGTGGTAAAGAACCTGCCTGCCAGTGCAGAAGACATAAGAGATGCAGGTTTGCTCCCTGGGTTGGGAAGATCCCCTGGAGGAGTGGACACTCCACTCCAGTGTTCTGGCCTGGAGAATCCCATGGACAGAGGAGCCTGTTGGGCTACCGTCCCTAGGGCCGCAAAGAGTCAACACAACTGAAGCGATTTAGCACAGCACAATCTTCCTATACATGAACGGGATCCGAATGGCTAGAAATCGTTTGCTAAGATTAACCTAGAGTGTATCCACTAACAGGTCTGGATAATCTGCCTGCATTTCCCTCTTGAAGCTCCCATGTTTTTTTCTTAACTAAGGACATTTTTGCCTTTTAATGATGTACTGTCAGTAAATTGAACATAAATCCTGTGTTTGTGGCACCGATGGAAAAAACCCAAGTAATGTTAGCTGAAGCAAGATGAACAAGAGATACGTAAACATGGACCCTCATGACAGGAAGTGTTTTAGAAAAAAAATCTCTATTCCTAAAAGAGCATTTAGGGTGAAAGCTTGTGTCTGCAAAACTGTCACACAGTATAACCCCTTCCTCTCCAGACCGCCAGCGAGAACCTTGCTTTTGCTCTGAGATAAGAGGAAGCTGCTGTGCAGGCAGATAATCTGACTCAGGCTCTTGACAATTCTCACGTCTTCGACTCTTAGCTGAATTTTTTTACAGTATTGGCTTGTTTTGAAATTTGCTGCCTCCATTCTTTTTTTTCCCATGAAAGTTTAATTTATTAATTAATTTTTAAATTTATTTTGGGTTTACCACATGGCTTGCAGGATGTGTGTTCCCCGACCAGGTTTATTTGTTTGTTTGTTATGATATCAGCAATATATTTGAAGAATTCAGGTCAGTTAATTTAGAAAAAGTCTCTCAGTTTGGGTTTCTCAAGTTTCCTCAGGATTGGGTTGAGATTGTGCATTTTTGGCTGGAATACTGCATAACAGATGTCTTTCTCAGGGAACAATGTTGTTAGCACAAGATGCCCCCTCCCCTGCCTTGATAATATTAATTTTAATCACCTGGTCAAGGTTTTGTCTATTTTCTCCATTTTGTTGTTATACTGTTTTCCCTTTTGCAATTAAGTAATTTGTGGGGAGATGCTTTGAGACTACATAAGCTTCCTGTTCCTTACCCATCTCCCTTCTCTACCTATATTTAGCATCCATTACTGACTCAAACCAGTCCATCCTAAATGAGATCAGTCCTGGGTGTTCATTGGAAGGACTGATGCTGAAGCTGCAGCTCCAATACTTTGGCCACCTGATGGGAAGAGCTGACTCATTTGAAAAGACCCTGATGCTGGGAAAGATCGAAGACAGGAGAAGGGGATGACAGAGGATGAGATGGTTGGATGGCATCACTGACTCAGTGGACATGAGTTTGAGTAAGCTCTGGGAGTTGGTGATGGACAGGGAGGCCTGGCATGCTGCAGTCCATGGGGTCGCAAAGAGTTGGACACGACTGAGCGAATAACTGAACTGAACTGACACTTGCCAAAAGTAACTTTTTCTTATAATAATTGTAAAGTAATGATTTTTCATTCCTTCATTCTGTCTCTCTCAGAGTCAGCTAAGGAAGAATTAACTTTGCTTTCCTCTTTTTCTTTCTTCCTCCTTTCTTCCTCTTCCCTGTCTTTCTTATCAACATGAACTCTGATTTTTATTCAGTTTTGTTTTAATCTGTTACTGTCTTCGTTTATTTTGATTCTGAAATTGTCCCAGCTCTGTCTCCTTCAAACTACCTACTGGTATCCTTTTGATTCTTTCATTAATTTATGTATTTATTCGTTCATTTTCTGGCACAAGACGGTCTGGATCATCTTTCCCTGCCTCAGCTTCAGAATCAGCCATGCCCCAAACAAACAAAAGCTGGTTTCTTTTGGTGAGGAACCATGTGAAGAAAACTCTGTGGTCGCTGACCTAGAGATTGAGATCACTGCTCCTGAGATGTATTACGTCCCCGGTCTTTCAGCAGGTTTTGGCTCTCTGTTGCTACTTAACAAATGACGCCAAGAGGTAGTGACTTGAAACAACAATAGATTATTACCTCTCACAGTTGTTGTGTTGGCTGGCCTCAGCTAGGCAGTGCTTGCTTGGGCTTTTTCGCACAGGTGTTAAACGGTGCCTGGGACTGCAGTTGTCTCAAGGTCCGGCTGGGATGACGTCCAGGACGGCTGCCTCACAGGGCGGGCAGCTGATGCTGGCGGGCAGCGGAGACCTCAGCGAGGGTGTCGACTGGAGAGGCGCTCGGGGTCTCTGCATGAGGCTGGTCTTCCATAGCACCGTGGCTGCGCCCTGCGAGGAGTCTTGACGGAGTGAAAGGAGGACGCGGAAACCGCCCGTCCTCTGACAGGCAAAGCCCGGAGCTGGCCCCGTGTCCTCTTCTGCATCTTCTCCTGGGGTCGTGAGACACAGGCGTAGGCGTGCCCAGATTGAAGCCGGTAAAGAAAGCCCGCTAACCGCCTCTCTCTCTGGAAGTCCGGTGTGCGTGGACAGGGAGGGGACATGTTGATGGTAGCCATCTCTGGAGACAAGCTACTGTTTGTTTTAGAAATGGTGCGTTTACACTGATACCTCCGATTTCATCCCAACTCCACACTGATCTCCTTTGTATCTTCCTTCTCTCAGTTGTTCAGTCTAACAACACACTCAAAATAGTTTCAAGATTGCTGCGTATATAGCATGGAGAGCAAACCCACTGCCAAGAGATCAAGATTTGCTTGTAGTTCTTATTTTTATAGACTGAGGATTTATCATTGAAATCTTCATACTCCTTTACTTTCTTTTTGTTTGTTTTTAACGATTTCTCTCTTTTGTTGCTTTTGTAAACAGGATTTTATCTTTCATAATGTTCTTGAACTTGCATTTATTTGCCTACTCATCATTTTTAAATACATTGATTGTGAGTGCTTTTAGTTTGAAATGCACTATTTCAGAATGTCCACAATTACTCATTGTCTTAGACGTTGTCTGTTATTTGGCTAGCTTTTAAAGGCATTTGAGTTTTTTCAACCATTGAAAATATATTTCAAATTATTTTATAATAGAATACTCTGTAAATAGTTTGGGAATATAAAGAAATTATCCATATTGCAAATCTTACTCCAATACAGGCGTTTTAAAAATTTTATTTTAATAAGTATGTGTTTTGCTTTTTTTTTTAAAATCAAGCACACTGACCTCATAATTCATTTCTTTTTCTAAGCCATGCATTTGGTTACAAGGTGCTACTCCTAAGTTAAGCAGTGGGTTATGTATTTTGAGAAGATTCTCTCAGCAGTACAATAATAATTAAACATTGCATGTGTATTAAACATGACCTACTCTAATAAACTTTGCATAAACAGTCTTCATACTGCTTGGCATTTACACGTTCAGTGGCCTTTAAGAAAGAAGGATGCATCAAAAATTTCCACCTATTCTACTTTTAAGTCATTCAAAAGTAAGCAAAAGTCAGCCTTTGAATACAAGTACAAATATAATAAATAACCCTTGAATATTTTATTAATAACCAAGGACCTAATTATCACAGGCAGTTCTAATCAGCCATTAATTCTGAAGCATTTGTAGAGCGGTGTTTTCTAACATCAAATAATTCTTCAGTTCTCCAGGACCCGTTGGCTGTCCAACAATTCGATTCAGTTCCGACACTATCTATCTGAAGTTCACGAAGCCCAGATTAGGGGCTTCGTCCCACAGGGTGCTTCCCCTTGGGATACCAGTGACAAAGTTCAGAGCCACTCAGACTTCTGATGGACAGGTTCCCGCAGCCCCCTCCTCAGCTTTGATAATTAGCTGGAATGGCTCACAGAACTCAGGAAAACACTTCAGTTATGTTTATCAATTTATGATAAAGGATGTGATTCAGTAGCAGTCAAATGGCAAGATGGATAGAGCAAGAGGGGGGAGGAACCAGAGCGTCCACGGCCTCTCCGGGGGGCCCATCCTCCAGCAGCCTGGGTCTGCGTACCAACCTGCAAGTTCCCGGAATCCTGCTCAGGGGGTTTAGACAGCTTGATCTCCACCACGGAGCTGGGTGGATGAGGCGAGAAACTCCCTCCTGTCATCTCCTGGCCAGTGACTAGTTTAATCCAGAAGTTATCTAGGGGGCCCCATTGTAAGTCAGTTATTCTGTAACAAATAACAAAAGACACTTCTGTCACTCAGGAAATTCCAAGTGTTTTCGGAAATCTGTGCCAAAACTGGGGACAAAGACCCAATATATTTCTTATTATGCTACATGTAGGTATTTACATACAAACTGTGGCTTTTCTTTGTCTTTTCATAAAGAATGGTGGAGAGAAGAAGCAATGTGAGGGGAAAAAAGTGAATAAATTGAAAGGGAGAAAACAAGAGGAGGAAGGACGCAGAGATAAAGCAGAAAAATAACAAAGTGGAAAAAATCATTTCTGTGCTTTACGCAACTTTTCAAACCTCTTACAACATCCCAGAGATTTTTACAGAGTTAATTTGAAGGTAGAATTCATATTAACTCTGAATGTTAATTATGATAAAAGCTCTGATCATTTCTAATTATTTTCTCTTTCTTTTAATAATGATGATGATAAATCACACTATTGAAAGATAATGCCTTTTAAAGTTTGCTTATTGGTAAGATATCAGACTGACCACAAACTTGGATGATTGAGTATTTTCATAAATAAGTAGTTCATTTTCTTAAATGGAGAAAAGATTGCAGGTATTCTAGAACACTACAAGAAAACATGACCAAATAAATGTCCTTGAGACTTAATGACTCAGGAACCACTCTGCGTGCGTGCTCAGTCATGTCCGACTCTTTGTGACCCCGTGGACTGGATAACCTGCCATGTTGCTCTGTCCGTGGGATTTCCCAGGCAAAAATACTGGGGTGGGTTGCCATTTCCTATTCCAGGGGATCTTCCCAACCCAGAGAAGGGACCAGCCAGAGTCTCTTACATCTCCTGCCCTGGCAAGCAGATTCTTTACCATTGAGCCACCAGGGAAGTCCCAACCACTTTAATGCAATGCAGTTATTTCAGTAAAGTTAAGCTATTACAGTCATTCATTAACCATCTATAGAGTGGTTCAGTGATGTTTTCTGTTTGAAATACATAGCCACCAAAGTCATGTTACTAGGTTATATAAATAAGTGTAGCAAATTTGATTAGGACTGACTTGTCAAGTATTTATCAGGTATTTAGCTCAATAAAGACATTACTTTAAAGTGTCTAATATAGCTCCCAGAGGTAAATCCAGGAACATAGGAATAATGAAAATGAGAGCAGTTCTTCTTCATGGAAGAAGACTTGATTGATTGCTCTTCTTAGTCAGAGTCTCTAATGGATAAGTGAGTAAGTGGCAGCGTCTCTTGGGAGAAATATCATTGGGAAAAGTTTTATGATTACCATAGTAGCAGGAATAAGTTTTATTCTCATTGACTATCTAAATGACTTTACTTTTCCTCTTCATTGCCATATAATTCTAAGAAGAGATATATAACAATTAATTGAAGAAGTCTGAATTTGTTCTTGGATATCAACACAGTAGGAGAATCAATGAGAAAGGTTCAGGAAATGACTCCCCAAAGACTAAACCCAACACCACCAGTAGCTGCTGTGTATTGAGAACCCTGTATGGAGGGCAGGAAGCAACAGTTAGAACTGGACAGGGAACAACAGACTGGTTCCAAACTGGGAGAGGAGTACGTCAAGGCTGAATATTGTCACCCTGCTTATTTAACTTATATGCAGAGTACATAATGAGAAATGCTCGGCTGGATGAAGCCCAAGCTGGAATCAAGATTGCTGGGAGAAATATCAGTAACCTCAGATATGCAGATGACACCACCCTTATGGCAGAAAGTGAAGAGGAACTAAAGAGCCTCTTGATGAAAGTGAAAGAGAGTGAAAAAGTTGTCTTAAAGCTCAACATTCAGAAAACTAAGATCATGGCACCTGGTCCCGTCACTTCATGGCAAATAGATGGGGAAACAGTGGAAACAGTGACAGACTTTATTTTGGGGGGCTCCAAAATCAATGCAGATGGTGACTGCAGCCATAAAATTAAAAGATGCTTGCTTCTTGGAAGAAAAGCTATGACCAACCTAGACAGCATATTAAAAAGCAGATACATTTGCCAACAAAGGTCTGTCTAGTCAAAGCTATTGTTTTTCCAGTTTTCATGTATGGATGTGAGAGTTGGACTATAAAGAAAGCTGAGCACTGAAAAATTGATGCTTTTGAACTGTGGTGTTGGAGAAGACTCTTGAGAGTCCCTTGAACTGCAAGGAGATCCAACCTGTCCATCCTAAAGGAAATCAGTCCTGATTATTCATTGGAAGGACTGATGCTGAAGCTGAAACTCCAATCCTTTGGCCACTGGATGTGAAGAACTGACTCATTTGAAGAGACCCTGATGCTGGGAAAGATTGAAAGCAGGAGGAGAAGGGGATGACAGAGGATGAGATGGCTGGATGGTATCACCAACTCGATGGGCATGAGTTTGAGTAAACTCCGGGAGTTGGTGATGGACAGGGAGGCCTGGCATGCTGTGGTTCATGGGGTCACAAAGAGTCAGACGTGACTGAGCAACTGAACTGAACTGAACTGAACTGATTGAGTGGTTTGACAGTGTCAGTCACTGTGGTAAGTCTTTAACAAGAAATTTCTTCCTCTTCTTCAGAACTTTTGAGGTAGATATGGAACCATAGACTATATGGGTTGATATGATTTTTCACCTATTGTGCCCATTCGGTTCTATTGAGAAGCAAGAAAGTGTGTTTAATCTTTCATATCTACAAATCCAGTGATCAACAAAGTCTCTCCAGCGTGTTTTTTTTTTTTCTTCAAAGGCCTTTCTTCTTCATACCAAACAGTCTATATTTCCTATTCCACTGTCTTCTTAATATTGAAATTTGTCAAGCACTCCTGTAGATGTGGCTGTCTGAAATGTGCATAGAAAGTTGATGATCTTCTAATACAGACACAATTGTGGGAAAAAAAAAAGACACTTCCTTTGTCTGGTCTATAAAATGTATGTTGCTGTTCAGTCACTCATTGGTGTCTGACTCTTCGCCAGCCTGTGGACTGCAGCACTCCAGGCTTCCCTATTCTTTACTATCTCCAGAGTTTCCTCAGACTCATGTCCATTGAGTCGGTGATGCCATCCAACCATCTCATCCTCTGTCGTCCCCTTCTCCTCCTGCCCTCAATCTTTCCCAGCCTCAGTATTTAGCTTAGACTATAATACCTATTGGCTCAGCTCCTTGGCATTATTGATGGTACTTAAGTTTCAATGGCAACTATAGCACCAAACTGGTTTTCACAGGTGAGCTACTTAGCCATAACCATCTATCCTGAACTTGTGATTGTTGATAGGATGGGTTTTTTAATTTATATTTTATGTATTTATTTTT